TAGACAACTTAAATCATGCCAAAGATATTCATCTATTAGGTTCATCAAATCAGATTAACTAGGCCAAGGTCAAGGTTGATCAAGTTGCATGCCTCACAGTTAAGTTTCCAATGTGCATCTGTGCATTGTGAAGCTTATAAGAGTGTAAATCCAGCAAGAATCTAATTGAAACATTTATACAGACTAATTTGAATCTACATGATCGTTTCAACTCAAATTTTTCTTTATTTTCAAAAATTTCAATTGCTTCTATACACACGGTATTAAATATATGTTTCATCTCCGACAAGTGTCAAGTTATACTATCATCGCTTAGCAAAAATTCTAAAACCAAAAATATGCCAAGAATGCTTTGATGCACCCCCAAACTTAAACTACACAGTGTCCTCAATGTGGGACATGAATGTAAGTTAGAGACAAAAATGACAAAGAGTATAAAAAGGAACAACAATACCCAGGGGGAGGAAACGGCATTTTGATACAAAAACCCCCAAACTTGAATTGGACTGCGCAACCTGGAGAGCATCACGAAGAACAAAAAGAAACAACCACAAATAGAATTAATAGCACAAGCATAAATACAGAAAAAGAATGTACCGAAAGTTTAACAGAACAGAAAGAATTTGCATTGCAAAAAGAGTTTACATGATTACAAAAAGAGCTGTACAGGGATCATGTCGACTAGAGCAACCTATAGATAGCAAATTCTTACAGTTCAAAAGGAAAACAAAAGATACAAGAGAAATAGTTACATATGAAACAAAAAGATAAGGTCCACACTCGCAACAAGCTATGGTCCAGAGGGTAAACGGGCGAGGATGGAATGGAGGAGAGATTGAGTCTTACGCCGTTCAGTGGAAGCCAAACGATGTTCCTCAGCTGTGACACGACGGTCTTCAGCAGCAAGACGACGATCTTCTTCGGCACGTGAAGAAGTCTCACACAGAGTCTGAGTGCACGCGGACAAAGAATTCTCAAAACGATCCAGTCGCTCATGAATACCGGCAATGCTAGCCCGGATGAAAGCCTGGTCCTAGTGAGAGTCGACCGGAGGCTCTACCCTTGCAGCGGCTGCTGCAGTGGAAGCATCCTCAGAAGGAGGAGGAGGAGGAGCGTGGATGAACAGGGGAGCAGGAGGCTGAGGGGTACTAGAATGGCTAAGAACATTGATCCACCGGCGCTGGGTAAAAATTTTAATCTTTTCGCCTTTTGGTTCATAGGGAGGAACAACGAAACCCTTGTGCTGAAGGAGCCGAGTGATGAAAAATGGCAAAGGCAATTTTCGATTTTCAACTCGCGGAACCCGTGTATTATGAGCATCATGCCAAAACCTCATAAATGTGGTCCAAATGAGCTCGGGGATGGAGAACCATTGGCCTTGGTCCATGGCATATAAGGCTTGCAGAAGGAGGCCCCAACGCTCGGTGCTATGCACCAAAGGGCAGACATTGTGCTTGAAGACAATGTCAATGAACCATAGGCGTTCCGGAAGATTGGTTTTGCGGATAAAAGACCGGAGCCTAGTATGATCGTCAATAGTGCAAATGGCAGCCGCAATCTGCTCCACAGTTAATGTATCCGGCTCCTCATATAAAGGGAGATTTTCACGATTGACAATGTCATCGGGGCACTCAATGGGGCAACCAGAAACCTGAATGATGTCAGTCATAGTGAAAGCATAGGTGGTGCCATCAATGGATGTAGTGAGAGAAATGGGTGGCTCTTCAGGGCATTGGAGATTCTGGTAGAAGAGGCGCACTACACGGGGGTAGGCAACCCTGGCAAGGGGTGCGCAGATGTGTTGCAGACGCCGGTTAGTCAATTCGGCTACAGCCCACGAAGTTGTGGGTAGAATGTCAAAGGCATCCGTGAGCGGAAATGAGAGTTCGTAGTTGAGTTATTTGCGATCCCAAGGATCACGTGGTTGCTCACGAGTGACAGCACGGGCACCCGAAGAGGGTCTAGGAGGGCGAGAAGGACCGACACGAGACATTTAGAGAGGTGGACTTGGTTGAGGAATTTCAGCGAACACCTGGCGTGCACCACAAAAAGGAAAAGGTGAAAATGAGTGGGGTGAAGGATGAAACCCAAAAATTTTTGGCCATGCAATTGTAATAACGACTCCCAAACAATCACAAATCTCCATTGCATGCAAGCCCATCCTCCATTGATACCAAAAATGTGAAAGAGAAAAAGAAGGAAGAAACTTACCCCACAATGGAGAACCAAAGGCCCTGTGTGCGTGGGATAAATGGTGGGGATGGGTGGGAGGTGGGTGATGGTGCTTGGGTTAGAGGAGAGTGGGGAAAAAGGTGGAGGAGGTGAAGTTGGGTTTGCATGGGGTGGTGAGGTTTGAGGGTGGTTTGGTTGTGGAGTTAGTGGAGGAGAGGGAGTTGGCAGTCGAGGAGAGGAGTTGAGGTTGAGTGAGATTGGTGGGGCGTTGGGGTTTTTAAAAGAGAGGGGGTAAGCTTGGTTCGAGCACTCGAAGTTGGACTTCGAGTGCTCGAAATATGGGCAGAGAGTTGGGAGCCGAGGGGTGAGAGGACTCAAGCAGTTGCGAGCACTCGAAGCTTGGGTTCGAGTGCTCAAAAATTTGGCAGAGAGGGTTGGGTGTAGGTTAGTGTGGTGGGTTAGGGTGGTGAGCTTGATGGGGTGAGGTGGTGTGTTGGTTTTGTAGTTGGTGTGGGTTGGGGTTGAGAGGGGGTTCGAGCAAGGGAGGGTGGAAGTGGGTATGAGGGTTGGATGCCGGAGGAAGAAAGGTGGTGCATGCATGCATGGGGCTTGCATGCATGCACGCATGCACCTCCATGGTGGCTGAGAGGTGAGGTGGCGAGGTTGGTAGTTGGTTTGTGGTGACACCTGCATGGTCGCATGCAGGCATGGTGTGTGATTAGGGTGCTTGGGTTAGGGAGTTGGGTGGTTGGATGTGGGTGCATGGAGGGATGGAGGTTGGGGATAACCGAGAGTTGGGAGGGCGAGAGTTAAGAGTGGTTTGCATGCATGCATGCATGGAGCTTACATGCATGCAAGGATGCCTTGGGTGGTGAAGTTCGAGGGTGGTTTGGATGGTTGGATGATGGTGTGAGGTGATGGAGCATGCATGGGTTGCATGCTGGGGTGGGGAGGTGTGGTTTGTGGTTGGAGGGTGGATGGTGGAGAGTGGAGAGGTGGCTGGTTGAGGAGCATGCATGCAGGGCATGGAGCTGGATGCTGGAGGTTTGAGGTTGGTGGGTTGTGGAAGTTGGGCTGCATGGGTTGGGGTGGGGTTTGTTGATGGAGGTCGAGCACTCGAAGCTTGGTCTTCGAGTGCTCGAAATTTGGGCAATGAGGTGGGTTAAGAAGCTGGGGCACTCGGAATGGGGTTGGGATTGCTCGAAAGTAAGGCAGAGAGTTGGGGTCTTTGGTTTAGAGAAGTTCGAGCACTCGAAGTTCAACTTCGAGTGCTCGAAGCCTGGACAGGGAGCTCAACTGATGAGTGCATTTGAGTGCAAACTTTCTGAGGGCATTTGAAGATCGAGCAAGCTGTTGCATGCAGTGGCTTGAGTGTTGGGGAGGAGGAGTTCGGATGAATGAAGCTTGGGAGGAAAACTGGAGCACTCAAAGCTTGCATGAGGATTAAAACAATGCATGAATGCAATGCAATGATGCCTTAATGCAACATGTGAACCTGAACTCTAACATTTCTTGACCATTTCATGCAATGCAAGATCTTGAACCTGAACTTAATACAATGCAAGGTCCTTTGCATGCATGAATAAACTGTGCATCATATTATGATTATGATGATGAAAAACATATGTATATATAGAAAGAGTTGATTAATGATTATTTATTTATTTAATTATTTATTTTATTATTATTATTATTATTATTATTTTTTTTTTATTATTATAAATGCCAATGGAAAACTTTCCAAGCCGTGATACATTGCAACATGATGCAAAATGGACGAAATTTTTCAAAAAGAAAATTTAAAGCTTAAAGCATTGCAACATGATGCAAAATGGATGGAATTCTCAAAAATGAATATTTCAAGCATAGAGAATTTTTGAAAATTTGCATGTCAGTCCTAAATTCAAGCCATGCATGGAAAATTTGAAACTTGGCACATTATTCCAATTCAATGCATGGATGGATAATTTGTCAGACTTTGCAACATCTTGCTACTGCATTGATCAAATTGGAAAAAATTTCAAACTTTGCACTTCCCACAATGCATGGATGAGTTTAAAAACATTTCAACAATGCATTGAAGATGAGAGGCTATGCATGTGAGTGCCATGTCGGGAGTCCGAGAAAATTGCCTGATAGAGCCGGAAACTTCCGGGAATGAAAACAAGAGTTGAGAAGGTCTAAGAAGCCAGTCTAAAAAATGTGGAACACACGTCAAGATAATTCCAGAGAAAGTTAAATTTTGGCAATTCTACACCGTTTCCCAGAAAATTTGCAAGGCACGAGCAATTTCAAAGAAAAGGAAGCTTGGAAATTGAAAGAATTTCTTCCCTTGAGTTGCTAAATTTAATGTCGATAGCTAGACAAAGCTAGAGCAGGCACTAATCCTCATAAATTAGATCCGTCAAGAGGACTTCCTCAACTTTTCGGGTTAGAATTGTGCCGTCAATGCAGGGCTTAAGCCTTTGGCCATTTACCTTGAAGAGTGATCCACTTGCAGGATCATGAAGTTTGATTGCTCCATGAGGAAAGACGGTAGTGACAATGTATGGACCATCCCATCTTGACCGGAGTTTACCGGGAAAGAGTTTCAAGCGGGAATTGAAAAGCCAGACCTTTTGTCCCGGGGCAAAAGACTTTTTGACGATGTGTTTGTCATGAAAAACTTTAGTCTTTGCCTTGTAAATTTTTGCGCTTTCATACGTGTCATTACGCAATTCCTCAAGTTCATTTAATTGCAACGCACGATTAGAGCCGGCTTGTTTGAGATCAAAATTGAACCTTTTTATGGCCCAATAAGCACGGTGCTCTAATTCTACCGGGAGATGACATGCTTTGCCAAAGACAAGTCGATATGGTGACATGCCAATGGGTGTCTTATAAGCTGTCCGGTAAGCCCAAAGCTCATCGTTTAGCCTTAATGACCAATATTTGCGCTCCGGTCTAACCGTTTTTTCTAAAATGTGCTTAATCTCCCGGTTAGAAATCTGTACTTGACCACTCGTTTGAGGGTGGTAAGGTGTAGCAACCTTATGAATGACTGAATACTTAGCAAGGATGGATTTGAGATAACGATTTCGGAAATGAGATCCGCCATCACTAATGATTGCTCGGGGCGTACCAAAACGACTAAAGATGTGAAACTGAATGAAATGGATCACGACTTTATGATCATCGGTTTTGGTAGCCGCGGCTTCAACCCATTTAGACACATAATCCACCGCTACAAGGATGTACTCATAGCCATAAGAAGATGGAAATGGTCCCATGAAGTCAATCCCCCACACATCAAAAATTTCAACAATTAAAATGTTAGTGAGGGGCATCATGTCTCTTCGGGACATGGATCCAAGTTTTTGACATCGTTCACACGATTTGCAAAAATTGTATGCATCCCGGAACAAGGTAGGCCATAAGAATCCGCTTTGAAGGACTTTGTTAGCGGTCTTTTTGGCACTGAAATGGCCTCCACAAGCAAGAGTATGGCAAAAATTTAAAATGCTTGTGGCCTCGGTTTCAGGAATACATCGCCGGATGATTTGGTCCGGGCAATACTTGAATAGTTCCGGATCTTCCCAAAAGAAATGCTTGACTTGGGAGAAAAACCGGTCCCTCTCTTGTTTGGACCAATGGGCTGGAATTTTGCCAACCGCAAGATAATTGACAATATCCGCAAACCATGGAAGAGTAGAATGTGAAACTTGAAGAAGTTGCTCATCCGGAAAGGAATCACGGATGGCTGCGAATTCTGAAGATTTCTCAATAAGTAAGCGAGAGAGATGATCGGCGACAACATTGTCGGTCCCTTTTTTGTCCCGGATGTCAATGTCAAACTCTTGAAGTAAGAGGATCCATCGAATTAAACGGGGTTTTGTCTCTTTTTTCGCTAACAAATGCCTAAGAGCGGCATGATCTGAAAAGACGATGACCTTGGAGCCAAGAAGATAAGAGCGAAATTTATCCAAGGCGTACACCACAGCTAGCAATTCTTTTTCAGTGGTGGTGTAGTTCAATTGGGCATCGCAGAGAGTTTTGCTAGCATAATAAATGACATGCGGAAGTTTATCCACACGTTGGCCCAAAACCGCCCCTAATGCACAGTCGGATGCATCACACATGATCTCAAAGGGAAGAGACCAATTAGGGGGTTTCATGATCGGGGCAGAGGAGAGGAGAATGCGAAGTTTGATGAAATCTTCCATGCAAGCGTCATCAAAATTGAACGGAACATCCTTGGCTAAGAGATTACACAAGGGCCGTGAGATTTTGCTAAAATCTTTGATGAAGCGACGATAGAATCCGGCATGGCCAAGAAAAGAACGGATTTGACGGACGGAATTCGGAGGAGGAAGATTAGAGATTAACTCAACTTTTGCCTTGTCTACCTCGATTCCCCGCTTAGAAATGACATGTCCTAAAACAATGCCTTCTTGGACCATAAAGTGGCTTTTCTCCCAACTTAGAATGAGATTCGTCTCTTTGCATCTTTGGAGCACAAGAGATAAATTTTTGAGACACGAGTCAAAGGAGGAGCTAAATACGGAAAAATCGTCCATGAAAACTTCCAAGAACCTTTCAACCATATCGGAGAATATGGACATCATGCACCTTTGGAACGTTACCGGTGCATTGCATAGACCAAAAGGCATGCGTCGACAGGCAAAAGTACCAAAGGGACATGTGAATGTTGTTTTCTCTTGATCTTGGGGGGCGATTGCCACTTGGTTATAGCCGGAATAACCATCAAGAAAACAATAGAAGCTTTGGCCGGCTAACCTTTCTAGGATTTGATCAATAAATGGGAGTGGGAAATGATCCTTCCTAGTTGATGAGTTGAGTTTACGATAGTCAATGCACACACGCCACCCGGTGGTGGTTCGTTGTGGCACGAGCTCGCCCGCTGAATTTTCAACAACGGTGAGCCCGGATTTCTTGGGGACAACTTGTATGGGGCTCACCCACTTACTATCAGAGATAAGATAGATGATTCCCGCATCTAGCAATTTGATCACCTCTTTCATGACCACTTCCTTCATGTTTGCATTTACCCGGCGCTGGACCTCTCTAGTAGGCTTTGCGTCATCCTCCATATGAATGCGGTGCATACAAATGGAGGGGTCAATTCCTTTCAAATCTGCCACTGTCCAACCAATAGCTTCTTTATGCTCTTGGAGCACCGCTAAAAGGTTGGTCTCTTGGTCGTTTTGAAGGTCCGAGGCAATAATGACCGGAAGGGTTTGCTTTGGACCAAGGAACACATACTTGAGATGGGCCGGGAGCGGCTTAAGCTCAAGTTGTGGCGGAGATAGCAATGATGGGACCGGAGGAGTGGTGGAAAGTTGGGGAAGTGGTTCTTTTGGAATTTTCCAAGGAGGTACGTCCATGACAGCATTGATATCAAGCAAGGAATTGACTTCTTGAATGGCCTGATCGACATCAAAGTTTGAGAAGTCAAAATGGGACATGCAAGTTTCAAGAGGATCTTTGCCTAGAATGAAGGGGAGAGATTCTTCGACCACTTCATCAATGACATCCACAAGAAAACAATCATCCTCATTGGAGGGATGTTGAGTTGCATGAAAGATGTGGAGTTTGACTTGCATGTTTCCAAAAGCGATGTCCATCACCCCGGTTCGACAATTAATTGATGCATTAGCCGTGGCTAAAAATGGCCTACCAAGGATCACGGGAATGTGCTTTTTTGGGTCATGGACGTGTTCCGTATCAAGAACCACAAAATCTACCGGGAAGTAGAATTTGTCCACTTTGATGATAACGTCCTCGAGAATACCTCGTGGATGCTTGACCGATCTATCGGCAAGCTGCAAAACCACGGAAGTCGGCTTAAGATCTCCCAAACCAAGTTGTAGGTAGACTGAGTATGGAATTAAATTCACACTAGCTCCTAAGTCAAGGAGGGCCCTCTCGATTTTGCTGTCACCAATGACGCAAGAGATTGTGGGGGCACCCGAATCCTTATACTTTGGGGGAGTGCTGTGCTGAATGATAGCACTAACATTTTCAGTCAACCTCACTTTTTTTGGCAAATGATTTTTAGAAGTGCGCATTTGAGTGCACAAATCTTTGAGAAATTTTGCGTAGGGAGGGATTTGCTTGATAGCATCCAAGAGGGGCAAGTTAATCTTCACTTGCTTGAAAACTTCCCACATGTCTTGAATTTTACAATTCTTGTTCCCAAAATGTGTCGACTCTTGAAGACGTTGAGGAAACGGAGCTTTTGGCTCATAAGTAGTTTCCACATTTGGGGTGACATGTGTGGGATTTCCGTGAATGGTATTTGGACAAGAATTTGGATTAGAAGAGCTTGAATTTGGATTTTTCAAAAGAGAAACTTCCTCACTTTTGTCACCATCGACCTTGTTGTCAACCACTCTACCACTCCGAAGGGTGGTGATAGCTTGAACTTGTTCATGAGTCGGCCCACTCGGAGGAGGGGTTTCGTCAATCACATGCATTCCTCTAGGATTTTCAAAAGGTTGAGAGGGAAGCTTGCCCTTGTCCTTTTGAAGCAATTGATTCACCGAGTTAGCTATTTGGCCCACTTGATTTTCGAGATTAGCTATGGATTGAGTATGAGAGTGAACCATTTGGAGAGTAGGCTGCAAGGATGTCAAGAGTTGCTTGTTGGCATCCATTATTTGCTTATTTAATGATTCCATCATTTGCTTGTTGGCAGCTACTATCTCGTCAGTTGGACACACAGGAGGTTGATTGGAGACATTTGGATTGTAAGGAGGACGGTAGCTTGAAGAGGCTTGGAAAGGTCTACCTTGAAATTGAGAAGAGGGTTGATTTTGCCGCCCTTGGTTTTGGAATTGGGAATTTTGTGGGGCTTGTTGCCGCCACAAGAAATTCGGATGATCTCGCCAACCCGGATTATAGGTGTTGGAATATGGATTGTTCCCGGGCCGCGAGAACATGGCATTAGCTTGCTCTTGGTTGGGATTGGGAAATTGCTCCGGTGTGGGGCAATCTTCCGAGAGATGGAATGGACTAGTACATGAAGCACAAACTGAACTTGCCGAATTTTGAGACAATGAAGGAGGAAGATGTGGTGCCATCAATTGGTAGAATTTATGAGCGATGGCATCCACTTGAGATGATTCCTCCCTTATTGACTTTGGTTGACAAGGGTTGGTGTTGTTTGGAGTGGTTGCGGTCGGAGCCCTACGAGAATTGTGTTGAAGTGAATTTTCACTCAAATTCTCAAGTAAGGTCCAAGCCTCATCCGCATTCTTGGACATGAACATCCCACCACAAGAAGAATCAACCATGAATCTATGGATTTTGGTCAAGCCAGCATAGAAAGCTTGCACTAATTGCCATTTTGGGATCAAATGATGAGGGCATTTTCGAAGAAGATCTTGTAGCCTTTCCCAAGTCTCGTGGAGTTGTTCTCCATCAACTTGAGAAAAACTTAGAATGGAACGCCTCATCTGGTTGGTTTTACTCACCGGATAATACTTCTTAAGAAATTCTTGTTGCAATTGAGCCCAAGAAGTAATAGAGTTGGGAGCGAGGGAGTTCAACCAATATTTTGCCCTATCCTTTAGGGAGAATGGGAAAAGATGGAGATGAAGTGCATTGTCCGGAAAACCTCTCAACCGGATGGTCGAACAGATTTCAAGGAACTCATCAAGATGCTTATATGGATCTTCATTATCAAAGCCATGAAATGATGGAAGCATTTGAATGGTACTAGACTTGATCTCATATTGAGCTGCATCGATGTTTGGCATCACTATACAAGAAGGAGAAGCATAGGTGGTAGGAATGAAATGATCTCTAAGAGTCATTGGTTCTACATTAGGAATTTCAGCCCTTTCATTCCCCGGATTTCCTACGTTATCCCCCATTATATTGAATTCAATTTCAAGGTCCCTTGTAAGAGTGGGTTCCCTAAGGTTCCGTCTACGAGTTCTTTCAAGTGAATTTATATCAATAGGCGAGTCAAGTGTGGGAAGAGAGAGTGACCTACGGCCAAACATCAACAATTCACAACAACATCATCACAACAAATCTTTATCATCAACTCCACATACGATGTTCCCTTTCTCCTCAATTATCAAGACAGAAAATAAATGGCCACGACAAGGACCGATGCTTGGAATTGAAAATACACAATTGAAATAGCCTCGACAAGGGCTTGCAATTTATCTACTTTTAAGCTTAACACATGCACGATATTCACAATTCGAAACTAGAAGTCACGAGACTTACCTGGGGTCCTCTAGACTTACAATTTGCTAGCAATCCCACGGCGAGCTTCGAGTCCCTAGAATCTTACAACATGAAGATGATCAAAACACACAAGGAATATTCACAAGACACAATATGCACAATCAAACTAAATTTAACCCTAAACTTTGGTTGCTAAACCGTTTGCAGTCCCCGGCAACGGCGCCAAAAATTGATCGGTTGATCAACTAAACATCAACCTTCGCAATAGCACGAATCATTGTAAAATAGGGCTATTGGTCGAGTAAGTCGAACCACTGGGACTGTGCTAGTCTAAGGCAACCTAAGTGTTTAGAGTCATCCTTAGGATGATGAAGGGGTGTTCATAGAGGTTGTGTTTGTTGTCACTTAACTACAAATTCAGAATGCATACAACAATAAATTGAAGGAGATTAAAAGAGAAGATTTAGAGAAGGAAGTCTAGGGAAGTGAATCCACTCCAAACCTCTACACAAGCTAATTATATGATTGATTTGGGGAATTAATGTAGAAATGACCATGATGAATAGCAATTCATGACTACTATATCATCTTCAAGAAATTCAATTAATTAAAATGTAAGAACAACCTATCAAAGCTCCACATGCTTAAATTACCTAAACTATGGTGCAATCCTCAACATGCTCACTAAGCTAGAGATTGTCAAACAAGTAATCAATTGATGAGAGCACATGATAACAAGTCACAAGGTTAATCCATCAAAAGAAATTCTTAAGCAATGAATTAACAAGCTACTCAAAATCATGCCATTAAAACCATTCCATAGTCTTAGCTCCATTGTCACTATGAAACTACAAGCCATACAACCATGAGATTAAATCATCTAAGACAAGAGTATTTAATGCAACATGATCTTTAGAACATTAAAACATCCATTACATTATGTAACATGCTCTAGATTATGGAACTAGTCAAATACACATTTCATTCCCCAAAATAAATCAAAAACTAGATATGCTTACAAGGAGGAGTTTCATCACCTCCCTAGATGGAGGTTTAGCTATCCATGGATACAAAAATGGAAGAAGAAGAAGAAGAAGACTCCATCTCCATTTTCGAGCTCCTACTGTAGCACTCAAGAACACCCTCCTCCTTGCTCTCTTCTCTCTCCTCTATCTTGCTAAAATCAAAGATTGCAAATGTGTGGCCTTTGGTAGCTTTTTATTCTCCAACAACACCCTCTCTCTCTCCTCCAAGGAACACCTCCAACCACTTCATAAAGAAGGAAGATGGCATTGAGGAAACCAATGTGCAAGTGGCTGAAATTGAGCCATTTCCGAGTGCAATCTGCCTGATTTTCGAGCACTCGAAAAGTGATCTCGAGCACTCGAAAAGTGATCTCGAGCACTCTAACTTAGTGCAATGTGCAACATGCTCCTCTTGCTCAGCGCTGACCTATTTTGGAAAAACTGCTATAACTTTGTGCCCCGAACTCCGAATGATGATCTGTTTGAAGATTTGGAGAGCTGATTCAGTGCTTTAAAAACTTCATGTTTTGATGAAGACCCAATTCTCAAGTCTGGTTGGTCGAAAATGAAGATCAAGGCAGAATTGCATTGCTGCCAGGCAGTTCTGTGCACCTCTGGTAACAAGGCCATAACTCTCTGCTCCGAGCTCTGAATGACAAACCGTTTGAAGATTTGGAAAGCTGATTCAGAGCTCTAAATCTTTCATGTTATGAGGGAAGTCCAGTTCTTGAGTTTTCTAGGTCGTAAATGGCGACAAAAGTCAGGATCACTGCTGCCAGAAATTCAGAAATGGCATCCTTTTTGTTCAAAATTCCACAAGGCATTTTTTTTTGCTTCCTTTTTGCACTTTAACCTGAAAATGCATAAAAACATGCAAATGGAGTTAATCTACATAAAATAATCAATTAATGGACTTTGTTAATGTACTTTAGGGCGCTTGAATATACAATATTCGGCGCTTATCACATGCCTCTGCTCAAGAGATGGCTCAATAGTTTGAGGTACTTCTTGTACTTTTTCATTACGCTCATTTTTCTCTTCAAGTCTTTTCTTCCAATTTTCATCCTGTTTTGCTTCCTCTTCTTCCACCTTGTTTTCAACTCTTTTACCACTTCTCAGAGTAGTAATTGTTTGCACTTGTTCATGGTGGACTTCTTGGCCAGTAATGTCATCAATTATACGCACACCTCTTGGATTAGCTACTAGTTGACTAGGAAGCTTGCCATCCTCTCTTCTGTTCAAGGCTTGAGCTAGTTGGCCAACTTGAGTCTCTAACTTGGCAAGGGATTGAGAATGAGACTGCACAAGTTGATTAGTAGGCTCTAACTACTTTGCTATCATTATCTCGAGCATTGATAAGAATTGTTGAGGTTAACTGAAGACATTCATAGGAGTGAACCCTTGAGGATTTGAAGTCTGAAATAGAGATTGAAAATTGCCTTGCATATGAGGTACTTGAGGTGGAGGAGCTGATGTCCCTATGGCTAGATTTCTTCATAAGAAGTTTGGATGGTTTCTCCAAGCCAGATTGTAAGTGTTTGAATACATATTATTCCCTCCGGGACTTCCATAGGTAGCGTTAACTTGCTCTTATGGAATTTTTGAATATTGAGCTGCACTTAGACAAATAGACACATGGTGAGTTGGACTAGAACAGAAAAGCACACTTTAAAGCCTTGAGCATTAGTCAAAGGAGTAAAATTTGATTGTGAAGTCATCAATTAATCCCCCTTCTTGGTTAATGCCTCCATTTGGCTCACTAGCCCTTGATTTATTCCTACTTCATTCACACTTTCTGTTCTCCTTAATATGGTATGAGGTCTTGCTACTGGAGGTAAGACATGTTGTGTAGAATTATCATATATGTTTTTGCAAAGCTATCATGCTTCCTCTACACTTTTCAACATAAAATTTCCACCACAAGAGGCATCCACCACATACCTTTTATGCCTCATTGAGCCCCTTATGGAAGAAGTTGATAAGCTGCCATTTTGGCATGTCATGATGAGGACACTTCCGAAGGAAGTCTCTGAATCTTTCCCAAGCCTCATGAAAATGATCGTCAGGCCCTTGAGCAAAATGAGTAATAGCATCTCGATATTAAGTAATTCTCACGTACTTGTTCAAAAACTTCTGTTGCAATTCAGCTTATGCAGTGATAGAGTCTACTGGTAATGAATTAAACCAGTCCTTCGCCTTGTCCTTTAATGAAAAGGAAAAAAGGTGTAGCTTGAGCACATCATCGTCAAAGTTCTAGATCTTTATTCTTCTGCACACCTCTGTAAAGTCATCCAAGTACCGGTATGGATCCTCTTTTGATAGGCCGTAAAAAGAAGGCAGTAACTGAAGAGTACTGGCCTTAATTTCGTAGTGAGGGGTCCTCACTTGAGGATACCGAACTGCATATGAAGAGTTATATGCACTTGGTTTGTAGTGATCCTTTAAATAGCGAGCTGCTTTTGCAGCTGGTGGATCATCCGCCATCTTTTCCTTTATAAGGCCTCCAAAATCTTTCTTCAAGTTTCTGAGAGTCCTTTCGACTTTTGGGTCTAACAGAAGCTGAGGGAGTGACAAAGAACGTCTTCCAAGCATATAATGTCACCCGCAATAATTAAAAGAAAACAGTATCAAAATAAATAAATAAATTAAATTAAATTAAAATCCTAAACTAAGATCCTAGTTGAAATTAATTATAGAATTTAATATTATCTATCAAGAACTAAAACAAGTTCCCGGCAACGGCGCCAAAAACTTGTTGTGAGATTTATATATACCACTCACAAGTGCACGAATCTTTGTAGATAGGGTTTACTTGTAAGGGTGTCGTACCCAAGGGACTTGTGTAAAATAAGTTTATCAACAAATTTCTTAAATTCCAAATTAACTTGAAAGTTGTAATCCCCTCGGATTTCCAGATGCGGGTTGGCCAGGCCCACGCCCGAACACCCGAGGATATAGAAAACAAATGGCAATAAACGAACACAGAATACAATTAAGATAAACAGGAATAAATAAAATTTCTGTAAAGAAACTAAAATGATAATCAAAAAACTGAAACCTCAGAATAAAATCGATTAATAAATAAACTCTTCTGATACAACTGATCCTCCATGAATACAACTCGAGAATCTATCTAGTGGACCCCTATTCAAAACCCAACTGAAGTTAAACTAAACTAAATAAGGAAATTCCAAAACTAAATATAAATAGCAGTCCTACGAAACCGGAAGAGTGAGTGACTGTCTCTGCTCAACACGAATAAGCTCTAAAACTGGAACCGTCCGATCCCTGAAAAATAAAAATAGGTCAGGCTCACGAACAAGTTCTATTCTAATTACAATCCAAACAGAGACCAGATATGCAGATACATCATAGATATCTTAACCATATCTATATAGTCCGTAAATATATATACATCCACACTACAGGACTTTCACTGGACTACAGTGGGGGTCTCAACCTGAATAGAAGGCAACATGCAAAAACGCACCTATAGGTGGGCATGAGTACCTAGACCTAACAGGGTATACCTCAACCATCATAACCAGTTACACATCCCAATGCATATACGCTCCCTAACCAACGATCCTGAGACTCAAGCTCATATCGTGGGACCATAAATATATATAAATTCCATCCAAATACAATGTTGTGTCGACCAACGGTTCGTCGTCCAGACACGACATATAATTAGGATTTAAATGTTTTAATTAAACCCATTTCCTTCCTAATACAGAAATATAAACAAACATCCAATATGTCGTTCAACCGTTTTAGTTGACAGGACATGCAACCATGTAGGATTTAACTGTTTTAGTTAATCCATTTCGTATGTATGAATAGGTAGGATTTAACGTTTTGATATAATCCATCCCCAATATGCCACCGTCCCATACCGTTGCATATAATGCATATGATCCGTAAATGATGCAACATCTCAAACAGTACATCAAATAAAATCCACATAATCCATATAGTTGATAAAAATAGAATTTAAATAGTTCATCAAACTACAATCCAAAATAACATCACTGTAATTGCTAGAACATTATTTAATAGTTCAGCAATTAGAATTCAAAACATTTAATCCATGTAATTGCAAACAGAGTTTTTAATATCTCAGCAATTAAAATCCAAAGTAACATAAAATTAAATGACCCCATTATGCCTCCAAAACATGTTTTATAAATCATACGCTAGTCCATAAAGTTGTTAAAACAAAACTAACAATTTAATCCTGTCTATCCATTAATATTAAGCAAGATCAGTTAAACTTTCTTACTGTTAAATCCATGAGTACAAAAACATTAATCATGTAATGTGGGTTCTAATACAGCATAATATCATGTTTAGAATCCATGCTACAACCCGTTAAATTGTTAAAACAAAATTAAACAGTTTAGTCCTTTCTGTCCGTTAATAGTATGCAAAATTGCTTATTTTTATACTATTCCTTCTATTTGCACTAAGGAACAAATTATGCAATTAAAGAGTTCCCATGAAATTACATTTAAAATCCTCTGTACAGTCTTTGAATCAATCCAGAACACCAAACATGTCCAAAATAGTGCCCAAAACAATTCCGGAACGCGTCCAAACAAGGCCAACCAAGGGAGCCTGCTCTCAAAACCACAGAGCAGGCTCAATGCACCATGGGGCCGGCTTCCTAGCCCTTGGAGCCGGCTCTGTGAAGAGGGGAGCCTGCTCCCAACCTCCTGAAGCCGTCTCTCTCCCTCTTTGAGAGCACTACTCCACTTCTGCTCCGTTTCTGATCATCTGTTTCGTCTCTGGCCTCTTCCTACCCTCCTGTTCTTCCTTAAAACTGATCTTAACAATCTAATATAAATTCAATATCAGCCCAGACCCTTGTTTATAACAGTGCAAATTAATTCAACCATTAAAACAGTACCAATTTGTAAGCTTTAAAACAGACAATGAACACCAATCTTTCAAGAATTATTTCAGACAAATTTAAACACACACAAATAATCAATTTGACATATATTACGCATGCCAGATTCAATTAATATTCAATTAAAATCCTAGAGACCATCTAGGTATGCACAAAACATAGGCCAATAGGAGAGAGAAAGAAAAGAACTTGCATGTATGGTCTTGAATCAAAACCTCGTCGTCGTCTTCCTAAATTTTCCTGGCGATCGTGACTGCCATCATGGACTCCTTTGTTCTGGTTCTAACCCTCAAACAGCCCTCAACCTTCCTCCTTGGTCTAGCCTAATCCTTTGGCCAAAACCTTAATCCCCTTCTCTCAGTTTCTCTCTTAAAACTCATTGTATTCTCTCGTCCCTCTGTCTGCTGCTACTAGGGTTTTTTTTTTTTCCAAACCCTATTGCAGACATCATAAGAATATATATAGGTTTATAAAACCCTAACTCCACTTTTAAGAGGAGACGAAAAAGAGAAAATAAAAGAAACTCTAATATAAATTAAATATATGAATACTAGTCGGCAACCCCAAGCCTCGTGATATTATAAATATAAATAAAACCCTAGAATTATTTTATACATTAAATGATGACTAAAATTACAAATTCAAATATTAATAACTAATAATAATTAAATTAATCCACATAAATTACAAATTCAAATATTAATAACTAATAATAATTAAATTAATCCACATATACATATATATCCATAAATACATGCATATACATCCGTGGGTAAAGCTATACCTATTTACACGATCCAGAAAGTCCATTGATCCTCCCCAAGTCCAAACTCCATTTAAAACTAAAACGAATACATTTAATTTAAGATTTAATTACCACATAAGCATATATTTCAATTAAAATAAATAAATCAATTTAACAATTTAACAATTAACCACCAGCCAAGTAAACAAATAAAACATTTAAAGCATATACATGAAACCACATAAGCACACATTTAAAATTAAACAGTTAATTCATTTAAACACTAAACACGAAACCACATTACCACATAGTCATGTAAACAACTAAAACTCACAAGAAAAATAAATTTAAATTTCCATTTATACCCTTTTGAACACTAGGGGTATTACAAAAGTAGCATAAACGAATTGTGATAATTAATTCTAAATTAAATAAGTTGAAAAATAAAATAAACTAAAGAACAATGATTAAATAGGATGTAGAAAATAGAGAGAGAGAACTAGGGGAATGACTTCATCACTAACGTCGCACCACCAGTTAATTGCATTGTATTATTGGAGATATATCATATAACATGCACAAGGAATTAATCATGGCTTCAAGCACATATTAATTCAGCTATAAAATAATATAATTTAAAGCTAAGTATGGATTATCTTCAATTGATATAAACCATCTACCTAACTACTTTACTCTAGAGTGTAGTATGATCTATCTTTTTTAAGCATAATCCATCAAATTTCTAACATTATATTCAGATAAATACCATTGTGTAATCATCTCATTCACAACTACAAGAAGTGAATGAGTTGTGTTCAATCACAAGATTAAAATATCTAAGACAAGATAGAAAAATATTTGTAATTAAATTAAAACTCTAAAACCGATTCTTATTGAAAAGTCAATTAAAAACCCTATAAATTACACAATCATGCATGATAAAAATCGTTTCTCCAATAATTAAATAAAATCAAACCAGTGTGCTAAGCTAGGGCTATATCACAACCCTAGCAAAGCATTTAGCCATGCATGACTGAAGTGAAATTCTTCATAGTTGAGGAAGACATCTTCACCGTCATAGTATGATCTCAGATCAGCCCTAAAGTTCCCTTTTTCTTACAGAAGACATACATAAAAATTCTGTCAAATAAGGATTCCAAAATTCGTATAGACTCTAGGCCAATTTTGACAAGGTAAACAGCTATTTTATAGAATCCTCGTGAAATACAAAATTGTAGCTCTTCAAATTTCCTTTCAACCTTTGCGAGAATTTAGTTGTTTTGACACTCGAGCAAAGAGATATAGCCAGATTACCAAAACAGGTTCAAATTACCAACTTTGACGAACGTTTCCTTTTTGGAAAAGGATTTTTCCTTTTCTTTTTCTTTTCATTCTCATCAACTTGTGACTTTTTTTGGACTATTTTCTAAGTATAATTAGACTTGGATCTTCAACATTGCTCGGTCCCATGGAATGTTATCTTTTAAAACACAGAATCACTGGTCTTGACTGATTTTACAATTAAAGTCCTAAAATAAATAAAAACAATAAAACTATTATTAAGAGAATAAAACATGCAAGTAAAGGGACTAAAATGTATAAGATTCAGCGCCTAACATAGATCCACCTGGTCAACACAATACAAATGCACCAAATTCTACTAATTCAGTATTAACAACCCAAAGGAGATGATCCTAAGGCATGCTCCATTTGGTCTAATATAAGAAAAAAATTAATATTATGATCATTAAGAACTTAACAGAATCTTCGCCCACCCTCAAATTAGTAAAATAAAGAATGGAATCCCTTTGGGTTCTTATACTTTCATGTATCAAATGATTATTAAACTGCTCCTTATGGCCTTATATATCATCAAGAGATAGGCAATACAAAATAATCATTTCAAAATCAACATTTATTTATAAAAAAAAAACT